TGTTAATTTTTTATGTATATATTTTAATGTTTTATAAAATATCTTTAACTAAAGGAACATTAAATATTTAATAAAACTATCAGATATACTTATTGTGAAAGTATCTATTGTATAAATTTATATAAACTGAATGATTAATTATGATTTAATTGAAATATTTCTTTTGAAGTTTATGCTATTTTCATATAAGTATAAAAGACTTAATAATAATTCAAAAGTACGATATTCTTTAAAAACAATACGTCAGTATAACTTGATTTGCATCAAATAAATGTATTGATATATGTTAAGAATTCTACGAATCATCATTAATAACAAAAAACATTAAATATTTAATATTCTTAAATTTAAGTCGGAAATTAAAATTAAAGCATTGGCAATTCGAGTAAACCGTGGCGGGCTTGATCTAGCGTTAACCAATACGAATGCAGTATGCATTATCTTACTCCAGACTCAAAGTTCATCACGATTATTCAAATATATTTACCAAAATATAAAAAGAAGGGAAAAAATTATGTTAAAGTAAATCATGACTATGATTATCACTATCAATTCGGCACTTAATAAAAATCAATGAATTTTATAATATTGTCGATACAAATAGACATAATTACTAAAGTTTTAATAAATTATTGAAAATTTATATTTATAGTCTCGTAATTGATAACAACATTTTTTGTACATTTAGTTATGAATTAAATACGCAACTTTATAAAATTAATGGTGATTTTACATTATGATCATCGATCGGAATTTCAATTTCTTATTTTTCATTTTTTTTTTTAAACGTTTTGAAAAATAAAACATTTAAAAATAGAGTAGCAGTGCATAAAATGATTTTAATAAATTACATATAACAATATAAATTATGTTTTACAAGTTGCTAAATTGATAATAAAAGGTAAAAAAAAATTAATAATTTATTTATTTTTATATTCTTTTCATAATAGTACGCTTTTGCTAATAAAAAACTGGAATTCTTCTCATTGAAATTGTCGTACTTGGCCTAGTTAATTGCATTATCTTAAAAAAATAACATTTCAATTTAATGTTTACGAAAAATATTATTCTTGCATAATTTACCCGTTATATATATATATATATATATAATATTATTATAACTGAATTATATTAAGTTTTATATATCTGTAATAAATTGCAAAAATTGGAAAAACCTATTTTTAATACTTAAACATCAAAGTTTAGAAGTAATAAAACAGATAAAAAAAAAAACAAATTTTTTTTATATGAATTGGTAAAAACATTTTGTTATATTTAAGTTGAAATTTATTTACACTTTTCATAGAATCTTACGAAACGTTTGTTCGTTAATCATTGTTTTGTCGCGTACATTAAAATAATCGCGATGGGCTTTGAATTCTTAATCATCTACTCTTAAGATACAAAATACCGTAATTATTTACGTTATATTTACAAAATAAAGTATATTAAGAATTAAAATAAAGTAAACACCTTCAATATGCACTTCTGATAGTACTATCGTTTAAAAATGGAAGTATTATTGTATTATATTCTATCACTAATCTTAAAATTATATCGAAATTAGAAGAAAGTGGAAACATTTAATGTTTCCCAATGAATCAAATAAAATGGATTCTGAACGGTTCTAAAATTATTAGTCGAAGTAATATTAATTATTTAAGATCACGTGCATCAAAGTACTTTCATCCAAGACAATAAGAATTTGATGTTATGAAAATTATTTAATATGCTTATCATAAAATTTTAACAATAGATTACAATAAAAATTGATTTTTATGTATTTTATATTACAGATTAATTTATCATGAGGTTATTATTAGTTTTATTTTAAATGAATCGACCTTATTTCCATTCTATCTTATATTAAACGAATATCTTATTAATTTAAATTTATATTTTAAAAAATTTATTGCATTACTGCATGCTTTTGACTTCTCACATATTTGAATTATATTGATATTTTTAAAATAGCACCGTATTTTATAAAACTATGCAAAATCTTTGATAGCAGTTTTGTAGATAAATTCTTATTGTAACGAGATTTGATATTATTATTTTGATATTCTTAAACTATATCATTAATTTCTACAATTACCATCCTACTGAAACATACTTTTTACTTCTATTCAATTACAATTCATATTGTCAATTATAACAGTCAGTTTGATAAAAGGAGGGTAGAATTTGAATTTGACGGGGCAGAGGATAAGGAGAAGGTACATACATAAGTTTTATACAATTGTATATTCCTTATCTTAGCTAGATTTCTCTCTCTCTCTCTCTCTCTCTCTCTCTATCTATCTATCTATCTCTCTCTTCATTCGAAGGATGACTTAAAATGCACACAGAAACGATATGAATGCACTATGTGGACTAACCAAGGACAATACATACAGCCTCCTTCCGAGAAATTCCGTTCAATGATGCGATAAGCGGTCGTCCCGGTTTAATGCGAGCGAGTGAGCGACTGGAAAAAAGGCGGTGATGCTTCTTATCAGCAGCCTAGCAGCTATCAGTTACATGTAGCCTGGACATGTCTCCCGCCCCCCCCCCTCTCTCTCTCTCTCTCTCTCATCCCCGATGCCAACGACCAGTTGTCCCTCGATGAAGACACTGCTTCTCGATCTTACCATACCATTTCATCGGTCATTGCCGCCAAGTTCTAGCTCCAACGTCTATATTTTGTAATTACCAATGCGAGCGGAGTTTGGAAGGATGCCTCGGTAATCTATTACGCCACTTTGCAGCACCAACTATCCTTTACCACTTCTCTTTGCCCATTATAAATTCTTTCCTTCTTTCGACAATGTTGAGCGCTCGTTATTTAAGCAATAATTAAAACTCGTCTTTATTCAAGTGACAAGTTTTTATGTTTATGACGCTAGATTTTTATACTATAGTTCTGCCTGTGCTGTTTATTCATTAACCATTTGATCAAATCGATTATTATACGATTAAATTCGTGTCACTAGATAGCAAAAGAATATCCTGTTACTATTTTTGCAGCATTACAAACATCCTTCTTGTAATATCATATTGTCCATCATTATGTATTTAAAAAATGCCTCATTAAATTACTGGCCGTTCTCATTGATTGTAGATAAAGAGAACAAGATTTTCTTAAAAGGATCATAATTTTCTTAACGAAAAATATAAATTTTTATTTAAGTTACATTTTGACTCAGAATAACTAGAACTTTGCATTTTTACTTGTGTAGGTGTTCCTCGATTGAAAAAAAAAGCAAAAAAGTTAAAGGTTAAAGAAAAAGGTTAAAATATCTTTAACCAAAGGAACATTAAATATTTAATAAAACTATCAGATATACTTATTGTGAAAGTATCTATTGTATAAATTTATATAAACTGAATGATTAATTATGATTTAATTGAAATATTTCTTTTGAAGTTTATGCTATTTTCATATAAGTATAAAAGACTTAATAATAATTCAAAAGTACGATATTTTTTAAAAACAATACGTCAGTATAACTTGATTTGCATCAAATAAATGTCGTAATATATGCTAAGAATTCTACGAATCGTCATTAATAACAAAAAACATTAAATAAAGTATTTAAATCGAATTTTCGAAGGAACGGCTTATTGTGATTAGAAATTCTTGAAACAAATTATTGAGACAATTAGTCTTAAAAATTATTAACCAATTAGATTAAAATAGACTCATACCTTATATAAGTACAAAATAAACATTCGAATTTTCGCGTATGAGAAAGTAAAATTTTTTTAAAACAATCACGTCAAAGATGTGAATTATTATTTTCCAATATGTAATGATATTATGACTTAGCTAATTCAAATTCTCATTGTCATAATTAATATATAAACATACTTAGTAACATCAAGCAACAGCGTATAATCCTATTAAAAAATATAGAAAAATATATATAACCATTTTTCCTATTATCTTCTTGAAATCGATGTAATTTTGCAAATAATTTAATGATACAATGTTCTGAAATCATTATATAAAATATTGTGCTATTAAATTATTGGACAAAAATTAGCTTAAAATAATATAAGTTTATCATGACATCTGACAAAAGCGTTGTGCCTTAGACTTATTAATGAATCGTTTGAAATTTATAAAATCATGAACAAATAAATAAAAATGCATTATCTTAAGCGCTGATAAGAGTCTGGTGACTTATGTGATTACAATACGATAATGGAGTTCCGAGCGCATTGTAAAATCTCACTTATACCTGAACTTGTTCGTCAACAGGAAATTAGTCATGGCTTTTGAAACTTTGAATTTCATAAATCAGTTCAATCAATGAGAATGTTTAATTTTAATATAAGTGCAGAGATGGAAAATATTTTAGACGCTTAATTAATCAAATTATGCGCTTATACGTCTTAAAATTTAAAATACGCATGGCTTTCAAACTCGACATTAATTAAACGAAGCATTTGTACACAATAACTACAATTTCTTGAGTTTAATCTTGTTTTTTTTTTTATCATTATATTACGAGCTCTAGATGGGTGAGCTGTGCGTTAAACAACTGCTGGAAAGCAGTAAAATTGAAGGTAGGAGTGCGAGAGACTCATCCTACACTCTACTTCTCTCTCTCTCTCTCTCTCTCTCTCTCTCTCTCTCTCTCTCTCTCTTTCACTCATTCTCATCATCTCGCCGGTAAATGGGCTTTTGTCAAAGACCCAATAATAAATTGTCCTTTTCTCAAAAGGTCCGGTATTGCACATGAAATATTGCCTCTCCTTCGCTAGAGTCGAAAAGTCGCTCCTTGGTCCGGGTGCCGCTACATTGATCAGTACATCAGCGCTCATAGCCCGTAAACACGTTTACTTATCGTCGCATTCGTTCTGGCAACGTTGTATCCGAGAAACCCGCACTCTATTTCTCTATCTTTCTCTCTGTCTCTCTGTCGCCCGCTCGCTCGCTCGCTCGCTCACTCACTCACTCACTCACTCACTCACTCACTCACTCACTCACTCACTCACTCACTCACTCACTCACTCACTCACTCACTCACTCGGTCTCGTGTGCAAATAGGCCCGGATAACGCGAAGTCATTAGTCGTAAACGAAAACTAGGATTGTCCAGGTAGAAGAGTGCGGATGGAATGGTCGATGCACAAGCGAGCCGCTCCCCGTTGTCCAGGACCCATTCCACTTTTTAGTGTCGGCTAAACGGCCGCCGGAAGTCCGAGGATCGCGCGCACCGCCTTGGCCTGGGCCCCCCTCCACCGTCGCTTTTCCGCGGGGGAAGCGGCGGGCGGACCTTTTCCGAGCGTACAAAAGGAGCAGCGCGAGTCGTCGCCCGCTAACATGTCCACGGCCCGATGGCTGGGATCGGGGTTGCGCACATCAAGCTGGTCAAACTTGCGGGAGTCGCGATACTACTGGAGCTCGCTGTCGAGGAGGATCGGGATTGAGCGGCACCGGGGTGCACGCGACCTTTTATCCTTACACGTCGAACGCGGAAGGGAGTCCAAGATGCCCATCACCGTGGAGACGCGCTACCCGCAGTAAGCACTTTAACTTACTTAGTCGGGCTTGGATGAGCAATTGGATGAGAGTGAGTCGCGTGACTCGGGGTTGGGACGAGGGAAAATTGTTCCTTAGGATTGTTACGTAATTGAGCGAGGACTTGACGTTGGCGACGGTGGCGGTGGCCGCGGGTTTGGCGGGAGGATGAGGAGGGTCGGACGATCTCGTGAGCGCGTGTGTGCGTGCAGCAGCTGCAAGAATATTCGAGCTGTAAAAGTGAAAGCTTCTTTCTCACGACACAACACGGATTTTCTAATCATTGAACGCGCATAATGCAATCGGACATAATCAGCTCAGCTGTCGGCATTGCAAGCTACCGATATTCACATTATAAATAAGCGCTCGTATTTTCCGTGCTCCTAGCTTGAACATTTTGACGGAAACTCTTGGGAAAGTGTAAATAGGCATTTTGCTGGGGGACGTTGGAAGCTCGAACGTTGAAATAGAACGTGAATAATTTCATTATTCTTGGAGAAAAGGGTACACGTATTTTTATCGTCAAAATGACGATTATTTTCAATGCTTTTGCGTATTATCTGAAAACACGTTGGACATAGTGATGATTGACGGCATATCTCGTATCATTGTCGATTAAATAACGAAAAGCATCGAATCAGAATTCATAAAGAGAAAATTGAACGGTTGGAGCATTCGCGTGTTTATTTACTGGATTTACATAACATTTGCCCCATTTCAACGTTATTTGTTATTTCTCATTTGCATTGGCTTAATGCTCGACATACAATAGGAAAACTAATGTAAACGAGTGGATTAGTTTTAATATGGCGATTAAAGAGTCCGATTCGTTAATCAAACGATTTGCCATTAGTGAATAGCCTTATAATTTGAAAACAATCGAATTTGCGTGGGGAAATAATTGGCAGCGTGTAAAGAAAGATCGTGGAATAATAATAAAATCGAGCGAGAATAAGTCCCCGTTAGATAGCAGACCTTGCTTGAAATCAAGAATAAAAAGGAAAAAAAAAAAAAAATTGAAATCCGGAAAAGTCAGCAGTCCACCTTTCACTCCTACTTTATGCAATTGGTTATTGAAACGAAATTTCAAAATGCTCGCTCAATTTGTTTCGTTTTAAAGCCTCTCGTACACTACGTATTATCTTAATAATACTATTCGAGAAAGAAAAATAGCTTTAACGCTCGCAAATGGCATTGTTAATCGATTTGCGCGTGCAATCGTCTATAATTGTTGGAGTTCATCTCACAATGAATGGTGATAGAACCATTTGTTTATCGCAATTGTCTACAATCTCTCGAATTAAAAATTCGGTTGTTTAACGTAAGAAAGCACGGAAACGCCAATATCTATCTCAGCATATGAGTTTTTCGATAATCACCGGGGCAGATGGAGGCGAGGTTACTATTTGACGATTATTTCTCAGCAAACCATAAACACGAATGTAAATGTCCAATGTAAATGTGTATGAATCGCGAGAAGGAACATGAGCTGAGCAACGGACACCCTTTTGTTTGGGTGGGGGGGGGGGGTGGGGGGGGGGGGGGGGGGGGGGGGGGGGGGGGGGGGGGGGGGGGGGGGGGGGGGGGAGTGGGGTGGGGAGCACCCATTGAATTCGTCGAATGTAAACTTTCCATCGAAATGACGCTCACGGAGTCGGTATTCTTTTCGCGCCTCTTCCTCAAGTGCTTATTTCGCATTTATACACGATGAGTCGTCGAGGTGTGCTATTGTAATTTGACTTGTAAAAATTGTTAGTGGTTTATTGGTTGATAATCGACGAGCTTTCTTCCGCAACAACATCAACGACTTCGTATAGTTAACTCAAAGTGATCATCGCTCTTACCGGACCTGCTATTTGCATTTCAACGTTAATTGTACGTCGCGTGCACGTGCGCGGAATCGATGCTGTTTGCCTTTTGTTTCAAGAATTGTCGCTATCACATCGATTGCTGCAATATATTGCTTTAGAGAGTAAACGAAAAGCTTGAATTGCCATTTGGCGTTCCATAATTACTAATAATCCTATGACAATTATACATACATTTTATTATTATTTTCTTATATAATTTTTTAATTATTATTATTAAACAAATATCAGTTTATTAGTAATGCGAGTGTCGTATAAGCAAAGATAGACAGATTTTTCCAATATTTATAAATCGCATACACACGATAGTTTAAATTCTCTTTTATGCATTATCGAATAGAAAATATTTTCAAAATTTAATTACAACATTTTCATTGCTCTCTGCGGTAGTTTGTTTTGTTTGTTTTGAACCATCAAAGAGTCCCGATTAAATTTCAATCGCAATTATATGAGCCAACAGCTTATAAAATATTTATCGCGATCAAACAATTACAAATTTTCATAGCGCCTCAAAAAATCCGGCGGCTACAAAAACGTGAAATGGAAATGAAAATGATTTTTGCCTTTTGCTTCATTCGGTGTATATCATTGACACGATAATAGATAGTCAAAAATCAAAGTCATTGCTAGTAGAATTTTAAATGCATGTTGTTGTGCTACAGCGATCATGTTCCCCCTTCCCTTAAATTTCACGTATTTCAGTTATGCACTGCAGCTTTCAAAATCTTGTTGAAAAATCTTGTTAATCTAATCTTGTAATTAATCATCTTACTTAAAGTTATTTAATCCAATTTAAACATGCGTCCACGAAAGTAACGAATATAACAAATATAATAAAGGCAAAACAAAACACAAAACAGAACAAAACAAAACAATAACGGAATCTATTATCATGTAATATGTGTAATAAACTTGAGCGCGTGCGCGTGCATCAATTGAACGATTCAGAATTTTTCCTATTAAAAGTTGTACGAACTTGGCTGGGTAAAACGCAATATTTTCTTTCCAACGAGCATTCGATCTGCGCCAATGTTTGTAAATATCATCAAGCGAAAGAATTCGTTTATTGTCTCTTGTTTATTTATCGTCTGGGTAAAAAAACAAAAAAAAAAAAAAAAAAAAAAAAAATCATATAAAAATCAATTAAAAATAAATTAAATTAAGAGCCTTAACGTAACTCAGCTTTCCTCATTTATGTACTAATAAGTTAATGTTTGTATTAGTGCGTTTTAATTTTAGAAGATAAGAGAGGTCTAATTGCCTGCTTTCACGGCCTACTTGGACTCTGATGTGAATTAAATGGGTCCTAGAATTAAAATAAAAAGTTGATGAGATCTGTTCTAGAATGGTAACGTTGCCTCACTTGTTTATTTTAATTTCAAACGGAGAATATGTTGTAGGATGGCCGAGGCATACAATTAATTAATCAATTAATTAATCGCTCGCTTATTCGCTTGTGTAACCAGACGTAAAAGCAACGCCCCATAATGTCGTTAAATATCAAAATACGAAAATGTCGATAATCATTTGGCTGTTATACCAAAAAAAAAAAAAAAAAAAAAAAAAAAATATATATATACAAAAAAAAAGAAAAAGATAAAAAAGTGTTTATTTACTTAACTATGTTTATAAATAATATCGATAAAGCTCATCAGCTCTGACGTTAAAGATACTCAACGAGACAGTTTAAATTTATGTATTCTCATTTATAAATACATTCGGCGGATAAACCATCGATGCATCATTCAGTGACTTCGAGTGCGATCTATTTTCTTATAAATACTAATCTATGTTTTTAAATTAAAAAACTATCGTATGAAAAAATTAAATATTCCGTTATTTCATTATAATATTTTTTTCATCCCATCTCACGAAAAAAGGGGACGAATAACATTTATCTTCTCGAATATTTCTAGAAGAATTGCATTAAAGCATCTTTCTATTTTAATAATTGTTGATATATCGAATAGAATAAATATTCATGCCTACCATCTACTCGTACAATTTGGAAGAAAGCAAAAATTTCCTTCACACACACACACACACACACACACACACGCACGCACGCACGTGCGCACATATTTCTTAATCCAGCGGTATGACGCAATTAATAGAAATGTAAAAGACTACCTTATCACAAGTTTTCTTCACGACTTTCTCATTTTTATTTCGACATATGATTATTTATCTATTTATTCGTTTCACAAGCACGAGGCGTCAACTTACGTTTTAAGAGACGTAAATTCTTACGGTACGTTAGCCACTCGAAAAGGCCCCAATAAGTTGCAGGCTTACCTTAATAGAGTAACGGCCACGTCCCTAACAACAAAATTAGATTAGAAATGAATTTTGTCGAATCGTCTCATCGAAGCGCATAATTCGCCTCGTAATTCGTAATACAAGCGCCCTTTTGCCAATAATAAGGAATTTCTTGGCTAATAACGCAAAATCGTGTACCTACGTAGCCTAGCATCGTCGCCTCGAAATAGGCCAGCGACGGCTAAAATGCCCTTGCTAAATAGGAACGAAGCCTCTGAAGCTTCATTCCCTTCAAAAAAAGAAAAGACAAGCCCCGCCAAGTCTCGAATTGATTACTCAAACGGAAGTCGTACGAGTGTTGGTAACGCGCCTCTCTACAGAGTGCCGCCAAGTCAATAATCGCTCGTCCGTTGTTCGCAGAGTGGCCAAGCTGATGGTGAGCCACGCCGTAAAAAATTCGAGTACCAAGTACGACGGGCACGAGAGGATCGCGGACACGCCCGTGACCGGAGGCAGCGCTGGCGCACCCCTGGCCCCCAAAGTCCGCGCCTACATCGAGGAGGCGGTCAGGCTCTGCCGACCCGATGATGTCTACGTCTGCGACGGCAGCGACCTGGAGAACGCGCGGCTACTCAAGCTCTTGGAGAACCGGGGCACCATACAGGCTCTGCCCAAATACGAGAACTGGTGAGCCAAGTTGTTTCCCACGGCCAAGTCGACCTTAAGGGCTGCCTGCCCTCCCGTACGTTATCAGCTACTACGGAAAGTTTGACGATGATGCACGACCACGAATGGCTTTGCCTTCCAATTCGTTCGTTCCTGCAATTGAAACTTACAACCGTCGGACTTGCGAGTGATCGGTTGCCGGTTTTGACGTGGACGGACGAGTCACCGATGGTGATCAATAGCCCATCTTTATCTGATTATATCGATGCTCGTCGTTCCTGTGTGTAACTGCGGCAAAATAATGCCGCCATTAGCCTTATCCCGATACTCTTTGTATTTTTGTCGTATGCCAATAACGCAACCATCACAAGCCAAAATCCCTAAATGCACGTCGGCCGTAGAATTTCACTTTATCAACTGTATTTTACTTACGCGTTCGAACATCCAATCGCGTACGATTATCTTTATCAAAGACGTTGGGATGGATTGCAGGATGGATTGCATTGGCAATGCGCGGCACCACGCGGTTCAATATATGCCTCACTAACTACTACGCGCGCATTATTAATTAGTCTTTTATATTATAGTTGGTTAGCAAGGACGAATCCGGCAGATGTAGCCCGCGTTGAAAGCAGAACGTTCATCAGCACTTGCGATGGTAAGGAGACGATTCCGACTCCTCGCAATGGGATTAAGGGAACTTTGGGCAACTGGATCGCACCGGGCGATATGGACAAGGCAGTATTGGAACGTTTTCCGAATTGCATGAAAGGTAGGTTTTAGACATTTATACGGTCTTTTGTACTTGCTCTTGTTGTTGTTATTGTTGTTATTGTTGTTATTGTTGCTATTGTTGTTATTGTTGTTGTTGTTATTATTTGTTGTTGTTATTATTTGTTGTTATTGTCATTGTAATTGTTATTGTTATTTTTATTGTTATTGTTATCGTTATTGTTATCGTTATCGTTATCATTATTGTTAAACGCCGACGATTAGAGAAATTTTTAAACAACTAGCCGATGGCAGTGCAATTTTACAATGTGAACAACAATCAGTAATGTCGATGAATTATTAAGTCGCGCTTATTTTCTTTTTTCTTCTTCTTTTTTTTTTTCTTTTCTTTTCTTTTTCATTTTCAAATTTTCCACTCACTCGCTCACTCATTTCGTATAATGACACTGTTATCTTTCTTTCTTTAACGTGTAAACGAACGAGAGACGGCCCGGGCCCGTGTCTCTCTTCCTGGCCGAATTAAGATTCTCGGCTGTTGGTTAGTGCAGTAGTCGTCGGGATCAAAAGCCCGGGAATGATCGTGTATTTTGTACGAAAGGCCGGACGATGTACGTGATCCCGTTCAGCATGGGTCCGGTGGGCTCGCCACTCTCGAAGATCGGCGTCCAGGTGACGGACTCGGCCTACGTCGTCTGCTCGATGCGCATAATGACGCGCATGGGGGAGAGCGTGCTACGGTGCCTCGATAAGCGGGACTTTGTCAAGTGCCTCCATTCGGTCGGCGTCCCGAGCCCCGACTCTAGCCTCCGGGTCGACGAGACCTGGCCCTGCGACCCCGAGCGCACCATCATCCTCCACAAGCCCGCGACGAACGAGATCGTCTCTTATGGGAGTGGCTACGGGGGCAACTCCCTCTTGGGGAAAAAGTGCTTCGCCTTGAGGATCGGCTCGACCATCGCCAGGGACGAGGGATGGCTCGCCGAGCACATGCTGGTGCGTCTCTTTTACTCCCAGCGGATTATTTAGCCCCGCGAGGCCATCGATCGTTCGTCCCACTGCTTTATGGCCATGTGAATTCGAGCTTTTATATAAATCGCAGCTCACGATTACTTCCTTGTTTTATCATTAACCGATAACGAGTAATGATGAATAACGACAAATGACATTTCGATGTAACGAAATTTTTTTAAACATACGTCGAAAGCAAAGGACTTTGGATTACGTAATAATATCGAAATAGTAGCGCGTAAGGTTTATTCTGCTGCTATTGCTGTTATTGCTATTGTTGCTAATGTCTCTATTGTTGTTGTTGATTGTTGATTGTTGATTGTCGATTGCTGTCTATGCGTCGTTCGCGAGACTGATTTCTTTCAAAATTCAATTTTAAAAATTCAATATCGAGACGTTAAGTTTATGTGACACGAGACCGAGTACATTTATATTCACTCACGTTACATTGAGATTCTCGCTCGTTAAATAGACTTATTAATTATAAATCTATTATTTGATTATCCGGCAGTATAGTTAAAGAACGTTATCGTAAGAATCGACATTAAAATTAATGTACCCACCTACGAGACACTCCCCGAGCGGTCTCGAGGGCGTTGACTTTATTTCCATGTCACGTGACAATCAAGTGATAATTACCATTCGTCCGAATAAGTATCAATCAATAAGGAGACTACCGGCGTTGGATATGCAAAATTTGTAGAAATTTCTCCTTCGTACTGGTCGCCGTGTAATTGAGTTGCACGATCCAAGCCACGATACAAACGAAACGTAAATAATTGATTAAAATTTGTAAAAAAATTTCACTGCTTGCCAAAATTTTATGATTTATGTCACGCAACTTGGCTGACTGGCGACTATACGTGTGCTACAAATGGCCAGAAAATAGCCATTAAATATTTTAATTTTAAATTATTGGCAATTGGTATAAGCTCATTTTCAGAGCCAAAAACCTTTCACAAATTATAACAATTTGCGTTAAATGTTTTCTCATGCTCGTTTACGCATCCTCGTCTCGACAAACCTATCGCAATGGCTATCGCATGTCTTTTAATTTCTAACGAGAATTAGCGGTGCCTCTGTTACACGTAACACGTAACACGTAACACGTAACACGTAACACGTAATACGTAATACGGCCTTAATGCCCTTCATATCCACGAAAGACGTATGCACTTTAAGCGTCTAAACTGGATCCCCTCCATATTAGATCCTCGGGGTGACGAATCCCAAGGGTAAGAAGCGGTACATCGCCGCCGCGTTCCCCAGTGCCTGCGGCAAGACCAATCTCGCAATGCTGAAGCCGACCCTACCTGGCTATAAGGTCGAGTGCGTGGGTGACGATATCGCGTGGATGCGATTCGACAGCCAGGGTAGTCTGCGGGCCATCAATCCGGAGAATGGCTTTTTTGGCGTGGCGCCGGGCACGAGCTTGTCAACCAATCCAAACGCCATGGCTGCCATATTTAAGAATACGCTCTTCACCAATGTCGCAAAGACGAGCGACGGCGGCGTTTTTTGGGAGGGATTGGAGAATGAGGTGGCTGACGATATTCAGGTAAGACTGCCCGTTAAAATGCTCTTCCTACTCCTTGTGCAGGTTAAAGCGCAGGAGGATGCTGAGTAATGCGGGTCGGTTTGTCCTGACCCTTAGATAAATAAATACTGCTTGCCCGTCCTTTCAAAATACTTTTATAACTTTCTATTATTCTATTTGCATGCTCGGCATTAGCGGACGAAACCAATAAACAAAGCATTACGTTTAAGTGATTTTTCGGGAAATTTTATTAGACGGATGACAGACGGCTAAGCGTTGCAAATCCTCAACCTTCGCTTTCCAAGTAGAATTCTATTTTTGTCGAGGCGCACTCTGCTGCCAGTTACTTGCTACGTAATATATCTCTAAGATGCGAATTCTATACTAAATTAATTCGTCTTTAATTCTTTCGGTTTCCTTACCTTTATTCGTTATGATTTTTTCGAAACAATGGAATAATTGGGGCGCGGCAAATTCATAATATTAGCTGCGACTCACATATTTATTCGCATTCGGAATTTACCATCTTAACCTACTCCTTAGACACGTATTTGCGAAAAGAGGTTGCAATACTAAACTAAACTCGCCTCGTCGTTGGAAGTGCTGGAAACGACCATGACCCTCTATCGAGCTCGGCTTGTCCCCCCTCCATTGCCTACTTCTCTAGCTCATAACAATATCGCGGGAAAAATGAAAAATTGATAATAAAGCAGAATCACGGCCTTAGATCACGGACTGGCAGGGAAAGGCCTGGGGACGCGACTCCAAGACGACCGCGGCTCACCCGAACTCGCGCTTCTGTACCCCGGCGAGCCAGTGCCCGATAATCGACCCCTGCTGGGAGGAGCCCCAGGGTGTGGCCATCGATGCGATACTTTTCGGCGGTCGACGGCCCGAGGGGGTACCTCTTATCTACCAGGCTCGCGACTGGCAACACGGCGTCTTCATCGGGGCCACCATGAGATCCGAGGCAACAGCCGCCGCCGAGCACCAGGTCAGTCACTCGGTTAGAAGAACGCGTTACGAGAACCATCCATAAATATGTAATATGTAAACTGTGTTTTAAGCTGTGTATGGGAACTGTTTTACGCTGATTGGTCGACTCAATCGCGTTTCGTTAAAATTGCTAAATTAATTATTATTTATCGGTCTTTGATTCTCTTATCGAAGCCAAGAATCAAAGATTCCAAGATCCAATGAGCCTTTTCATACACATCTTATCAATCATTCTCTCTCTCTCTCTCTCTCTCTCTCTCTCTATATATATATATATATATATATATATATATATATATATATATATATATATATATTTCAAACAGTTTATGTATCCATTCTATATCCACTCTCTACCCTTCTTGTTTATCTTTTGGCAAGTGTTTTCTCACCACGAGCTGTTGTCGTGGACTGTCTCGTTCATTTTTTTCTCTGTCTCCTTTATCTTGACATAGCATAACAATTCTTGTACCGACAATCTTGACATTCCTTTAAAGTCTCTGATAATTTTAAACATATTCTTAATTACTCCCCTAAAATCATTGTACTATGAATCGTTAAAATTAAGCTTACTTTATCGTAATTAAACAAATTTTTAAGCATTATCTAACAAAATAATAGACCATTGTTATATAAAGATCATTTTTAACATATATTTAAATAAACAACAATATCGTATGTACGAATCGCATGATTGAAGTATTGTTCGGTTTCAATATTGCAAATTTTATTTCATTACACGTCACTCAGCCGGCAAATATATTATTAATAATCTTATTGATACTGTTTCAACTCTTCGATAAATATAATTATTAATTAAAGACCAGCGTCTATATACAAGATGCTCTTAATTACCGTAACGAGCGACTTTCCTCCCGTCAAATTACAAAGCATTTTTCGTTCAAACATTAAACAGATAGTAAAAAGCATTAATCGCAAAATAAGATAGAAGTTGACATCCAAATTCAGTATTAAGTAGCGGATGTCGTTGCGCTTAAGCAATGTTACATCATCTTCGAAATTCTGTCACCTCCTTCACCTCCTCCCTCTCCTCTTTCAATAATCAAGCAAGAAAATGTCCCAATACAAGTGCCACCAATACTTATGAGTCTCCACTAAAGTCTCCCCAACTCGTTTCCAGGGCAAGGTGATAATGAACGACCCGTTCGCTATGCGACCCTTCTTTGGCTACAATTTCGGCCGATACCTGAGCCACTGGCTGAGCATGGCGCAAGTGCCGAATGCCAAACTACCCGCGATCTTCCACGTGAACTGGTTCCGCAAGGGTCCGCGCGGCTTCCTCTGGCCGGGCTTCGGTGAGAACTCGCGCGTCCTCGACTGGATTCTACGTAGAATCGACGGCGAGGATAATGCCGTCAACTCGGCAATTGGACTCTTGCCCAAGCCGGGTTCCCTCGACCTCAACGGCTTGCCCGAGAAGATCGATCTCGAGGAACTGTTCAATCTACCCAAGGATTTTTGGCAGAAGGAAGTGGTCGAGCTCCGAGATTACTTTGACGCTCAAGTTGGCGACGATCTACCCGAGGCCATAACTTGCGAGCTCGACACTCTCGAGGAAAATGTTGCTAAAATTTGAAGTCCTCGTTAAGACCCGATGATATCTATTATTTCACCCCCCCCCCTCTCTCCCTCTCTCTCTCTCTCTCTCTCTCTCTCTCACTCACTCACTCTCTCTCTCTCTCTCACTCTCTCTCTCTCTCTCTCTCTCTCTCTCTCTCGCTCTCGCTCTTCTCTGTTTTTGAAAAACAAATTTTTATTTCATCAACTAATTTCGATTGAAAATCGAAACGGACTATCTGGGTAATTTACATCTGACCACAATTTACCAAAGCTCGATTCAATTCTCATTTCTTATTTTTCAAAACTACAATGTAATAAGCAAGTGCATCTTATTCAATGACGAATCGCAATGATTTAATGAAAATATTTCTTATGCTTTTATTGTACATATGCATACAAACGAGCGATTTAAAAGATATTCTTACAAATTGCATAAAATTTTGTAATCAATATAACTCATGAAAATTTGTGGTCATGAGGAATTCATGAAAATGTGGTTAAGATTCGGGCTAATTAATTTTAAGGCTCTTATTATTCTTTAGATTGATCGCATCATCGACTTTCTATTGTTTCATTCTCTTTTGTATTGAACAAAGCAAAGAATTTTGGCAATCTATTAAAATCTTATTAAATTCATTTAAGCCATGTCCCATTCACTTATAATGGACCGCAGATGATTTCTCCAAATACTCGAAGATTATAATTAAATGATCCATTTTTTTTTTTGTAAATAGTATTACTCAAGTTCTGCATTCCAATAGGATAGTGCAAAATCTTCGTAATTGTGTGAAAATAAATCAACGTCAGTTGATATATTAGTACTCGACGACAAAAATATTTAATAGTTTCATCAAAAACTTGATATAAGATTTAATGAATTGTTGTGGTAAATGAATAAATTTTTTATTTAAATTTAATCAGTCAAATAAATACTCCGTCATGGATTAATTTTCAAAGGACTGTAATGTTAGGTATGCTTTGTGATTAACAGAATTTAGTAAAATGCAATTTGTTATTTTATGCATCTACAATTGTAATAATATATAATTCTAAAAGTGAAAGGCCTTTTATCAATATGTAATATAAAAAAACGAAGAACTTTTTTTATTAAAATTGAAGCATTCGATTATTGGAATATTAATTTTAATTTTTTTTGTTTTTTTTTTTCTTTTTTTTTTTTTTTATTTATATATTTACGTTTTGGCATTGAAAAATATATTAGCCATCTAATTTATCGACATCGTAGGGTTGTAGCGTTAGAATTTATGCAAATGGAATTTATTTGAATAGATATAATATTTTCTACGACAATATTACAATTTGTCATTTTGTTTAATGTGCCAAAAATCAACGAGAATTAAGTGATTATTATTTTATTTACTATAGTGAATTGTCAAGAATACTGTATTGATTATAATTGAAATAAATTTAAGATATATTCAGTAATAAATAATTGTAAACGCTTGTTTTCTTTGGAAATTAAATGCGTAAAAGATTAATTTATAATAATAACGAGGCTCCGAATATTTTAGTAATGTAGTTTTATAATATGTGTAAATATAATTCTATTTAATAAGTATATTCTTCAAAATATTATCCTTTTTACCTGGCGAGTTATTTTTATTCTTTAAATATCACCACTTTTTAAACATAACGGTTATACGATGAAAATAAATTACGAATTTGCGTAATTCATATGCTTTTAACATTAATTTCAACCCATTAACAGAAAGTTGATTAATTTCTAATATCTTATACAATATCATAAACTGAATTGTTCGAAAGATCGCTGAAACAAAATAATTAAAGATTTAATTTAATTTAATGTTCTTTGATACTCTTATCACTACCGATTCCATAATTTATAACTTTACAAACAAATATAATGTCAATAGGAGTGTTAACTATTTAGTAGCTCAAAGCTTAACGTAATGTATCCTCAAAAGACTAAAAAGCTCCATAACGAATTAAAATATTCTTAAATTCATCGTATTGTTGTAGTATTAAAAATAATGAATAATTACACGAACTTCAGTAATCGCCACACTATATTACTTAAATTATCTAAATGAACATTTAGTTTTTAACGGTTGTAATAAGCAATTATACAGAGATTTGACGGAATTTACGAAGGTAGTAAGATAATGGAAGTAAAAACGCGTAATTGAAGTTTTGAGTTAGAGCCGATTGAGCTCGCATTTAATAATAATGTAGGATGAAAATTTTGGCTCCCAATAAGGACGTGGTGGATGAAATTTAGCTTGAGCCACTACGAAGGGAAGATAAGCAGCTGGAGGAACTCGAGGTCGGCCCACTCGATTCTACTTATTCATCACCCCTGGGATGGGAAATCTTATCGAAGCAGCCGATATTTCATAAGGTTATTATTATTATTATTATTCCATTTTCTAATGCCGATGGAGATCTAACTATTGTTATTATCTCTATTAACATACATGATTTATTTGTACTTTCTGACGTTTCACGAGAAAATTTTATAATTCAAATAAATTTTATCGTCAAAGTTAATTAGTTTTTCAAATCAATGTATTCTTCTAGACGCTTCATGAATATTTATAGTAATTATAAAACAAATGGTTGAATTGAATATATATCGTATCATATTTCATTAATTTTAATCTTTAACACTCGAATTTTCTTGCCCATTATATTGAAAAAGTGTATTAAAAATTGAATCATTAGTAAAAGAAATTTCAATAAACCGTTAATTTTTTTTTTTTTTTTTTTTTTTTTTTTTTATTAAAATCAACGTTTTAATCCTTTGTACATTTTCTACTTTATCGACCAACGTGGATAATGAAACGTGAATATACGTTGAATCGCTAGAATAAATCATTCTTTTAACTGCGTATTAGGCAATCATGGACTGAGCGTGAAAACTCCTGCAATTAAAGGACAAACATTGTGAATCACTTAAGATTTATTCTTTTTAACAATCTTTTATCCTACTTTATCCAATGAGCTGCTTGTATTTTGTATTATAATATTATAACGTGTTCCGATATAGTTACGGTGACGACAGATAGATGGCAGCAAAAGCCCTAGTAACCGTTAAATTGTTCGATACGCAGAAATGTATGTTCGAACGAAATCGCGTTTGCAACTTTGTTTTTAGAGCGTTTCGCAGAAGCAGTGAAAAATATGTCACAGTTGAAAAGAAGTCGCACGATACGTAGTGTAGAGTAAATTTTAAATTAGGAAATATAATTTTTCGACATCTGGATTTAATTAAGGCTCCCAAATTTGTCGTTTTTCAAAAGAGATGATAAAATTCATTTTTCTCGTAAAGATAAGGTGAGTTGACTGATTTTTATATAAATCCATTCGGTTATTAAATTAACGTATTTTATGGGTCCATGTTTTTTCTGACCGGTAATAATAACGATCAATTTATTCAAGGATACAAATTATTAAATACATATCCGTTTATGTCAATAGAAGTGTACTTCAGTCTTAATTACGTGCTCGTTGCGGCAAATCGGCGCAAGAATAATGATTTCCACGTGTAAGATGCTAAATAATCACTTTCATTGCTTTTAAAGGTTAAAGTTCCAAAAGCTGGCCATGTTCATGAATGCCAATGTCAATATTAGCACGAATTGTTGAGAAATAATTGCAATCGACGGATGTCCGATGAGTTAATTCGGCAAATTCCTGCTTAGCTGTCGCGAGTGGAGGCGCGATTCGTGTCAAGTTGTGGAGGTGCCAAAATTTCGAAAGAAGGAAGGAAGGAAGGAAGGAAGGAAGGAATGAAGGAATGAATGAAGGACGAATGGACTGACGGAGCAAACTATTGGGCGAATGGTAAAAATTAAGAGTCGGATTTCACTTTTCAGCTACAGCGGCCATCTGCAACACCTCGTAACAACACGAATCCTTTAGCATTCGTTAGGCGGCCGGTAAATTCAATATGTCTCTTGGACTTCCTCTGGTGAACGCACCGAGATCCGTTTGTATGCGTATCTGCGATTCAAGAGAAATCTACCTCCGGACGAGCGAAGGAGGCAAGAGTGACGGTAAGTCGTTTCGAGCCAGTCGCCGGTGATCCGTTATAATTTCTCCGCTAATAGAATCCGAGATTTCGTGATGGGTCGTGCGACGCATCTCTGAGGACTACGACATGATCCCTCTTTCTCTCTTTCTCTCCTCACTCTCTCTCTCTCTCTCTCTCTCTCTCTCTCTCTCTCAGGCACACCCGCAACTTTTATCATTCGTTTCGAGTGTCTACTTATTACATTCACTTTTATAATGAGTTTAATCGGCTGGGTCGTAGAGTAACGAGACGTCGCTGGAAGGCTTCGCACAGTCAGACGTACGTTACGCGAATTTCGATGTCGTTGTGTTTGCTTTGAGCTCCACTTGCCTTTTCGACGGTTACTTTTTTAATTGAGTTTCTTAGTCGGTGATGATATCGTCGTCTTTAGCATTTTGTTTCCAATAACGAGTGCCCAGATAAGCAGTGAATATTAGGACAACCGTAATGTTTATATAATTCCCATATGCTATTTCCACATGCGTTTTTAAAAAATTGCATTATCGAGATTTATCTAGCTAACTATTGCGCTGATATTCATTAAGGTTACCTGAAATAGATGCTGAAAAGAACGTAAAGAAAAGTAGAGATTAAAAATTTCAATACCATTTATCTCGTTTACGCACAAAGCATTGAGAACCAGTTGTGGAATTTTGAAAATAAAAATGATAAAAATTACGCTGCAACCTTTGTCAGATTTATAAAATTATACATATATATATATATATATATATATATATATATATATATATATATATAATATATTATATATTATATAGAATTACATTATATACAGAATTATAAAATTTTACCTGTACTCTTTTACAAAAGCTTTATTATCGGCTGCAATTGTCTCAATTTCAAACAAGAAGAAGAAATAGTTAGCGTATTAAATAAAAGAAGCTTAGGTACACGGTCGTCGCTAATATATGCAAACTATATTTCAAGAATCAAATAGTCTTAAATGATTCGATGAAAAATATTATAAAGTGCC